GAACTGGTGACACACCTGGTGACACACCTGGTGACACAACTGGTGACACACCTGGTGACACACCTGGTGACACACCTGGTGACACACCTGGTGACACAACTGGTGACACACCTGGTGACACACCTGGTGACACACCTGGTGACACACCTGGTGACACACCTGGTGACACACACCTGGTGACACACCTGGTGACACACCTGGTGACACACCTGGTGACACACCTGGTGACACACCTGGTGACACACACCTGGTGACACAACTGGTGACACACCTGGTGACACACACCTGGTGACACACACCTGGTGACACACACTGGTGACACACACTGGTGACACACCTGGTGACACACACCTGGTGACACACCTGGTGACACACCTGGTGACACACACACACCTGGTGACACACCTGGTGACACACCTGGTGACACACCTGGTGACACACACCTGGTGACACACACTGGTGACACAACTGGTGACACAACTGGTGACACACCTGGTGACACACACCTGGTGACACACACCTGACACCTGGTGACACACCTGGTGACACACACCTGGTGACACACACTGGTGACACACCTGGTGACAGAACTGGTGACAGAACTGGTGACACACCTGGTGACACACCTGGTGACACACACCTGGTGACACACCTGGTGACACACCTGGTGACACACCTGGTGACAGAACTGGTGACACAACTGGTGACACACCTGGTGACACACACCTGGTGACACACCTGGTGACACACCTGGTGACACACCTGGTGACAGAACTGGTGACACACCTGGTGACACACCTGGTGACACACCTGGTGACAGAACTGGTGACACACCTGGTGACACACCTGGTGACACACCTGGTGACACACCTGGTGACACACCTGGTGACACACCTGGTGACACACACCTGGTGACACACCTGGTGACACACCTGGTGACACACCTGGTGACAGAACTGGTGACACACCTGGTGACTGAACTGGTGACACACCTGGTGACTGAACTGGTGACACACCTGGTGACAGAACTGGTGACACACTTGGTGACACACCTGGTGACTGAACTGGTGACACAACTGGTGACACACCTGGTGACACACGTGGTGACACACCTGGTGACAGAACTGGTGACACACCTGGTGACTGAACTGGTGACACACCTGGTGACTGAACTGGTGACACACCTGGTGACAGAACTGGTGACACACCTGGTGACTGAACTGGTGACACACCTGGTGACACACCTGGTGACTGAACTGGTGACACAACTGGTGACACACCTGGTGACACACGTGGTGACACACCTGGTGACAGAACTGGTGACACACCTGGTGACTGAACTGGTGACACACCTGGTGACAGAACTGGTGACACACCTGGTGACACACCTGGTGACTGAACTGGTGACACACCTGGTGACTGAACTGGTGACACACCTGGTGACTGAACTGGTGACACAACTGGTGACACACCTGGTGACACACGTGGTGACACACCTGGTGACAGAACTGGTGACACACCTGGTGACACACCTGGTGACTGAACTGGTGACACACCTGGTGACAGAACTGGTGACACACCTGGTGACTGAACTGGTGACTGAACTGGTGACACACCTGGTGACTGAACTGGTGACACACCTGGTGACTGAACTGGTGACACACCTGGTGACTGAACTGGTGACACACCTGGTGACACACGTGGTGACACACCTGGCAACACACCTGGTGACACACCTGGTGACTGAACTGGTGACACAACTGGTGACACACCTGGTAACACACCTGGTGACACACCTGGTGACACAACTGGTGACACAACTGGTGACACACCTGGTAACACACCTGGTGACACACCTGGTGACACACCTGGTGACACTCTTGCACAGAGTAGAGTGTAACGCCTCACACTATCAGAGCTACTTGTTAATATCCTCGTTAATTAAGAAATGCTTTAGTATATGTGTCGGGACACAAACAGCAGCGATACTCAGGATTATGACGACAGAAGTAAATTACTAACAAGTGTTGAGAGAGCAATATTCTGATACACTGAGCGGCCAGAGACATAAAGGTTACTGAAACAACACTGCAACAGCTTCGGGGGTGACAACACTCACCCAAAAAACATCTCAACACCTCACTAAATGACTCATTAGCCTGGGGCCAGGCGGGAGAGGACGAGATGGTGACACAAGGGGGAACACGAGGGGAAGCTGGACATTTGAACAGCATACCTTCATGCAAGTGCAAGGGGGGGGGAGCAGATGTTGCACCAGATGATGATGATGATGATGATGATGATGATGATGATGATGATGCGGCGGGTACGGTACTAATGGGAGGCGTGAGCCACAGTACGGTAACAACTGACCATGGCTAGATGACCCAAACACGCCAGCTTGGCTATCATAATGAGGGCTATGATAGCCAGGAGAACCGAGATAGCAGTGTAAACATGAGCCCGGAGGTGAGGAGGAACACGGAGTCTGTGGCTGATGTGAGAGTGTCAGGCCTGGAGGATGGTGAAGGTGAGAGGGGCTGGTGAAGGTGAGAGGGGCGGGTGAAGGTGAGAGGGGCTGGTGAAGGTGAGAGGGGCTGGTGAAGGTGAGAGGGGCTGGTGAAGGTGAAGGTGGTGATGGTGAGAGGGGCTGGTGAAGGTGAGAGGGGCTGGTGAAGGTGAGAGGGGCTGGTGAAGGTGAGAGGGGCTGGTGAAGGTGAGAGGGGCTGGTGAAGGTGAGAGGGGCGGGTGAAGGTGGTGAAGGTGAGAGGGGCTGGGTGAAGGTGAGAGGGGCGGTGAAGGTGAGAGGGGCGGGTGAAGGTGAAGAGGGGGCGGGAAGGTGAGAGGGGCTGGTGAAGGTGAGAGGGGCGGGTGAAGGTGAGAGGGGCTGGTGAAGGTGAAGGGGCTGGTGAGGTGAGGGGCGGGTGAAGGTGAGAGGGGCTGGTGAGGTGAGAGGGCTGGTGAAGGTGAGAGGGGCTGGTGAAGGTGAGAGGGGCTGGTGAAGGTGAGAGGGGCTGGTGAAGGTGAGAGGGGCTGGTGAAGGTGAGAGGGGCGGGTGAAGGTGAGAGGGGCGGGGCGGGTGAAGGTGAGAGGGGCTGAAGGTGAGAGGGGCTGAAGGTGGTGAAGGTGAGAGGGGCTGGTGAAGGTGAGAGGGGCTGGTGGGTGAAGGTGAGAGGGGCGGGTGAAGGTGAGAGGGGCTGGTGAAGGTGAGGTGAGGGGCGGGTGAAGGTGAGAGGGGCTGGAAGGTGAGAGGGGCGGGTGAAGGTGAGAGGGGCTGGTGAAGGTGAGAGGGGCTGGTGAAGGTGAGAGGGGCGGGTGAAGGTGGTGAAGGTGAGGGGGCTGGAAGGTGAGAGGGGCTGGTGAAGGTGAGAGGGCTGGTGAAGGTGAGAGGGGCGGGTGAAGGTGAGAGGGGCGGGTGAAGGTGAGAGGGGCTGGTGAAGGTGAGAGGGGCTGGTGAAGGTGAGAGGGGCGGGTGAAGGTGAGAGGGGCTGGTGAAGGTGAGAGGGGCTGAAGGTGAGAGGGCTGGTGAAGGGTGAGAGGGGCGGGTGAAGGTGAAGGTGGTGAAGGTGAGAGGGCTGGTGAAGGTGAGAGGGGCTGGTGAAGGTGAGAGGGGCTGGTGAAGGTGAGAGGGGCTGGTGAAGGTGAGAGGGGCGGGTGAAGGTGAGAGGGGCGGGTGAAGGTGAGAGGGGCTGGTGAAGGTGAGAGGGGCGGGTGAAGGTGAGAGGGGCGGGTGAAGGTGAGAGGGGCTGGTGAAGGTGAGAGGGGCTGGTGAAGGTGAGAGGGGCGGGTGGTGAAGGTGAGAGGGGCTGGTGAAGGTGAGAGGGGCTGGTGAAGGTGAGAGGGGCTGGTGAAGGTGAGAGGGGCTGGTGAAGGTGAGAGGGGCGGGTGAAGGTGAGAGGGGCGGGTGAAGGTGAGAGGGGCTGGTGAAGGTGAGAGGGGCTGGTGAAGGTGAGAGGGGCTGGTGAAGGTGAGAGGGGCTGGTGAAGGTGAGAGGGGCTGGTGAAGGTGAGAGGGGCTGGTGAAGGTGAGAGGGGCGGGTGAAGGTGAGAGGGCCGGGTGAAGGTGAGAGGGGCTGGTGAAGGTGAGAGGGGCTGAAGGTGAGAGGGGCTGGTGAGGTGAGAGGGGCTGGTGAAGGTGAGAGGGGCGGGTGAAGGTGAAGGTGAGAGGGGCGGGTGAAGGTGAGAGGGGCGGGTGAAGGTGAGAGGGGCTGGGTGAAGGTGAGAGGGGCTGGTGAAGGTGAGAGGGGCTGGTGAAGGTGAGAGGGGCTGGTGAGAGGGGCGGGTGAAGGTGAGAGGGGCGGGTGAAGGTGAGAGGGGCTGGTGAAGGTGAGAGGGGGTGAAGGTGAGAGGGTGAAGGTGAGAGGGGCACAAGACCAGCTGGGAGCGTGACAGGGTCATTACAGGGCGGGACAGGTAGGGTCCGCAGCCACTGGAGGGAGGTGAAGGGACCCACAGGAGATGAGTGCATCCATTAGTGATGAGTGGGGCCACAGTGGGGCCACAGTAGGCCACAGTGGGGCCACAGTGGGGCCACAGTAGGCCACAGTGGGGCCACAGTAGGCCACAGTAGGGCCACAGTGGGGCCACAGTACGCCACAGTGGGGCCACAGTAGACCACAGTGGGACCACAGTGGGGCCACAGTAGGCCACAGTGGGGCCACAGTGGGGCCACAGTAGGCCACAGTGGGGCCACAGTGGGGCCACAGTAGGCCACAGTGGGGCCACAGTGGGGCCACAGTAGGCCACAGTGGGGCCACTGGAGATGAGTGGGACCACAGTGGGGCCACTGGAGATGAGTGGGACCACAGTGGGACCACAGTGGGGCCACAGTGAGACCACAGTGGGGCGACAGTGGGGCCACTGGAGATGAGTGGGACCACAGTGGGACCACAGTGGGGTCACTGGAGATGAGTGGGACCACAGTGGGGCCACAGTGGGACCACAGTGGGGCCACAGTGGGGGCCACAGCGGGGCCACAGTGCGGCCACAGTGGGACACAAGATGGCCCTGGAGGAGGGGGTAAGACGGCCCTGGCTCCAGACGGGGCCACAGTGGGGCCACAAGATGGCCCTGGGGATGGCCCTGGAGGAGGAGGAGGGAAGACGCTGCTCCAGACGGGGCCACAAGATGGCCCTGGGGATGGCCCTGGAGAAGGAGGAGGAGGGAAGACGCTGCTCCAGACGGGGCCACAGTGGGCCACAAAATGGCCCTGGGGATGGCCCTGGAGGAGGAGGAGGAGGGAAGACGCTGCTCCAGACGGGGCCACAAGATGGCCCTGGGGATGGCCCTGGAGGAGGAGGGGGAGGGAAGACGCTGCTCCAGACGGGGCCACAAGATGGTCCTGGGGATGGCCCTGGAGGAGGGGGAGGAGGAGGGAAGACGCTGCTCCAGACGGGGCCACAAGATGGCCCTGGGGATGGCCCTGGAGGAGGAGGAGGAGGAGGGAAGACGCTCCTCCAGACGGGGCCACAAGAACAAGGAGGACGAGGCCCATATTACCCGACAAGATAATGACGGTGGAAACGTTTTGGAGGAGTCGATAAATGATGTAATTAGCGTTAGGACGCGAGGGGGGGGGGGGGATAACTGGTGTCTACCAGTTGGTGTCTTACACAAGAGTGATCAGGTGGCGCGTCATGGCTCCTGATTACACAACCTGGGCACAAGAGTGATCAGGTGGCGCGTCATGGCTCCTGCCTACACAACCTGGGCACAAGAGTGATCAGGTGGCGCGTCATGGCTCCTGCCTACACAACCTGGGCACAAGAGTGATCAGGTGGCGCATCATGGCTCCTGCCTACACAACCTGGGCACAAGAGTGATCAGGCGGCGCGTCATGGCTCCTGCCTACACAACCTTGGCACAAGAGTGATCAGGCGGCGCGTCATGGCTCCTGCCTACACAACCTGGGCACAAGAGTGATCAGGCGGCGCGTCATGGCTCCTGCCTACACAACCTTGGCACAAGAGTGATCAGGTGGCGCGTCATGGCTCCTGCCTACACAACCTGGGCACAAGAGTGATCAGGTGGCGCGTCATGGCTCCTGCCTACACAACCTGGGCACAAGAGTGATCAGGCGGCGCGTCATGGCTCCTGCCTACACAACCTGGGCACAAGAGTGATCAGGTGGCGCGTCATGGCTCCTGCCTACACAACCTGGGCACAAGAGTGATCAGGTGGCGCGTCATGGCTCCTGCCTACACAACCTGGGCACAAGAGTGATCAGGTGGCGCGTCATGGCTCCTGCCTACACAACCTGGGCACAAGAGTGATCAGGTGGCGCGTCATGGCTCCTGCCTACACAACCTGGGCACAAGAGTGATCAGGTGGCGCGTCATGGCTCCTGCCTACACAACCTGGGCACAAGAGTGATCAGGTGGCGCGTCATGGCTCCTGCCTACACAACCTGGGCACAAGAGTGATCAGGTGGCGCGTCATGGCTCCTGCCTACACAACCTGGGCACAAGAGTGATCAGGTGGCGCGTCATGGCTCCTGCCTACACAACCTGGGCACAAGAGTGATCAGGCGGCGCGTCATGGCTCCTGCCTACACAACCTTGGCACAAGAGTGATGATCAGGCTCCTGCCTACACAACCTGCACAAGAGTGATCAGGTGGCGCACAAGAGTGATCAGGTGGCGCGTCATGGCTCCTGCCTACACAACCTGGGCACAAGAGTGATCAGGTGGCGCGTCATGGCTCCTGCCTACACAACCTGGGCACAAGAGTGATCAGGTGGCGCGTCATGGCTCCTGCCTACACAACCTGGGCACAAGAGTGATCAGGCGGCGCGTCATGGCTCCTGCCTACACAACCTGGGCACAAGAGTGATCAGGTGGCGCGTCATGGCTCCTGCCTACACAACCTGGGCACAAGAGTGATCAGGTGGCGCGTCATGGCTCCTGCCTACACAACCTGGGCACAAGAGTGATCAGGTGGCGCGTCATGGCTCCTGCCTACACAACCTGGGCACAAGAGTGATCAGGTGGCGCGTCATGGCTCCTGCCTACACAACCTGGGCACAAGAGTGATCAGGTGGCGCGTCATGGCTCCTGCCTACACAACCTGGGCACAAGAGTGATCAGGTGGCACGTCATGGCTCCTGCCTACACAACCTGGGCACAAGAGTGATCAGGTGGCGCGTCATGGCTCCTGCCTACACAACCTGGGCACAAGAGTGATCAGGCATGGCTCCTGCCTACACAACCTTGGCACAAGAGTGATCAGGTGGCGCGTCATGGCTCCTGCCTACACAACCTGGGCACAAGAGTGATCAGGTGGCGCGTCATGGCTCCTGCCTACACAACCTGGGCACAAGAGTGATCAGGTGGCGCGTCATGGCTCCTGCCTACACAACCTGGGCACAAGAGTGATCAGGCGGCGCGTCATGGCTCCTGCCTACACAACCTTGGCACAAGAGTGATCAGGTGGCGCGTCATGGCTCCTGCCTACACAACCTGGGCACAAGAGTGATCAGGCGGCGCGTCATGGCTCCTGCCTACACAACCTTGGCACAAGAGTGATCAGGTGGCGCGTCATGGTTCCTGCCTACACAACCTGGGCACAAGAGTGATCAGGTGGCGCGTCATGGCTCCTGCCTACACAACCTGGGCACAAGAGTGATCAGGCGGCGCGTCATGGCTCCTGCCTACACAACCTTGGCACAAGAGTGATCAGGTGGCGCGTCATGGCTCCTGCCTACACAACCTGGGCACAAGAGTGATCAGGTGGCGCGTCATGGCTCCTGCCTACACAACCTGGGCACAAGAGTGATCAGGCGGCGCGTCATGGCTCCTGCCTACACAACCTGGACACAAGAGTGATCAGGTGGCGCGTCATGGCTCCTGCCTACACAACCTGGGCACAAGAGTGATCAGGTGGCGCGTCATGGCTCCTGCCTACACAACCTGGGCACAAGAGTGATCAGGCGGCGCGTCATGGCTCCTGCCTACACAACCTGGGCACAAGAGTGATCAGGTGGCGCGTCATGGCTCCTGCCTACACAACCTTGGCACAAGAGTGATCAGGTGGCGCGTCATGGCTCCTGCCTACACAACCTGGGCACAAGAGTGATCAGGTGGCGCGTCATGGCTCCTGCCTACACAACCTTGGCACAAGAGTGATCAGGTGGCGCGCCATGGCTCCTGCCTACACAACCTGGGCACAAGAGTGATCAGGTGGCGCGTCATGGCTCCTGCCTACACAACCTGGACACCTAAAACATTAGGCTGCAGAAGAGGCTGTAGTTTACCTCGGCTGCCAGTTAATTGGTCATCAGTGATGCGATAAATTATGATAAATTATTAGATAGAGAAAGTTATGTTTGGGGCAATGGAGTCTGTGGCGTCATGATTGGAGATTAGCATTGGGGGGGGGATAGATTCGGTTATGAATAGTATGGTGATTGGGGGTAATAGATTGCACAAGGATGGATAGATGAGAGCGTTGATAAGAGGCTATGAACGAGGCCATGAATGGGTTTATTAGCGTTGAAATGGAAAGAATAATGGATAGAAGATATGTGGAACGGAAGATAAGCGAATGGATATAATAGATATAACAATGACCTAATGGGTTAAAACTATTTACGAGCCTATTAATGGGTTATCTGGGTGATGAATAGTGGCATCATCGAGGCGGTGGATCGGCGGATCATTACCATGATGGATTTGCTTATAAAATGGATAAGTGTTAATGTGATACAGCGCAATAGGCCAATCCACCACGCTATGATGGATGGGGTGGTGGATATACACAGAGGAGGTGACCAAATGTGAATATTGTGTACCACAACATGTGCCCATGAGAACCTGTACATCTCCCACCCATAACCCCCATGGCAGCTACAACACGCCCACCAACATCCCATAATCCCATGCTAAATAGTACATACTACCCCCCCCCCCGTCCTCCCATAGGGGGCGGCAGTATATACTGTTTCTCAAAATATTACTGCATCAATACAACCCAATAAATAGAGGTTCCAGCAGATTATTGGTGTTTGCACTAGAACACGGGGTGAAGTTCTAGTGTTCTAGGGCAGTAGTGTATCTAGTATCTCAGATACTGGTGTATCTAGTACTCACCTAGTTGTGTTTGCGGGGGTTGACCTCTAGCTCTTTGGTCCCGCCTCTCAACTGTCAATCAACTGGTGTACAGATTACTGACCCTATTAGCCTCTATTTTTTTATTCATTCATATCTATAAATGAAACTGTGTATGGAGTCAGCCTCCATCACAACACTACTTAATGTATTCCATATATTAACTAAACTGACACTGAACAAATTCTTTCTAACGTCTCTGTGGCTCATCTGGGTACTAAGTTTCCATCTGTGTCCCCTTGTTGGTGTTCCACCCGTGCTGAAGAATTTTTCTTTGTCCACCCTGTCAATTCCCCTGAAAATTTTGTTGGTGGTTATCATGTCTCCCCTTACTCTTTACTCTAGTATACATCTACAGATGTACAGTTCACATCTAACCTCTATACCTTATAATTATAATCGGCGCTTGTTACAAGCATTTTTTTCTATATAATACCTAGGTATTTCCAACCCCTGACCGTGCCTCCTGATCACGCCAGACAGTAATGTGCCTCACATAAACACAGGATATAAAACCCACTCACAAAATTTCCATTATTAATTTGACATGAGACGAGCGGAAGAACATTATTAAGAGTGAGGGTCAGGCGTATGGTTAGTAACTTAACTAAGTTAGGAACTTAGTAATGAATTGACAGTTTTTTGTAGCTCTTTAAATCCGTTCCTTTCACACATAAATTAGCATAAAAAATATTGCGTTGGGCTCTGGAATACCGACATTCAATGTGCAAAATGAACATTGTCCCTCACCGTGTGAAGACAACACTATGACACGTGTAAGTTCCCGCGTTTCTGGTTTCCGTTCGAGCTGCGTATTTGAGGTTTTCTTAGTGTTGGACACGAGGCTTCGCGAGATCGCCGACTGCTCTATGTCCAGTGTAATGTTTCCCTCTGATCTACTTCTGTTGGGACACTGAACTACTTCTGTTGGGACACTGATCTACTTCTGTTGGGACACTGATCTACTTCTGTTGGGACACTGATCTACTTCTGTTGGGACACTGATCTACTTCTGTTGGGACACTCTGAACTACTTCTGTTGGGACACTCTGATCTACTTCTGTGGGACACTCTGATCTACTTCTGTTGGGACACTGATCTACTTCTGTTGGGACACTCTGATCTACTTCTGTTGGGACACTCTGAACTACTTCTGTTGGGACACTCTGATCTACTTCTGTGGGACACTCTGATCTACTTCTGTTGGGACACTGATCTACTTCTGTTGGGACACTCTGATCTACTTCTGTTGGGACACTGATCTACTTCTGTTGGGACACTGATCTACTTCTGTTGGGACACACTGATCTACTTCTGTTGGGACACTCTGATCTACTTCTGTTGGGACACTGATCTACTTCTGTTGGGACAGTCTGATCTACTTCTGTTGGGACACTGATCTACTTC